AGTCAGTTCATCCTTCCAGTAGCTGTGTTGTGGGCAGGTCTTTTGAAGGGATAAGTATCTACATTTGCCTTTAAATGAGTAAAAATACTTTCCCTGTAGGCCTAAGCAGAAAGAAAATATTAAGTGATGTGAGGGAAAGAAAGGTAGGCTGGATATCCAAACACCACTACTCTGTGCCCAGAAACCAACTACCATCATCCCATGAAGGTGATGCCAGAGTCCAGTGCCTAGACGTTCTGGTAACTTCTATGGTGGTTAAATGCATTGGTCTTAAGTACTTACTTTTTCAGTTATACGTCATATCCTCTGTTAGGAGACATTTTTCTTTAGGAGTGACTACATGCCTGAAAACTTGAGTTGTCTTTCTCTGCCATGACCCCATGACTTAAAATGTTGTACATGAATGGCACACCCCATGAAGAGGAGCCAAATGAGAAAGATGGAGGCAAGGAAAGGAGGGGCATAGAAGGAAGAGATGAAAGTATAATACTACTCATCCTCCTATGAGGGTAAGGATACCCTTGAACAGCTTAGGAATAGTCTTACTTCCTCTCCACACCAAACCAAATGGAAAGATAGATTAGTATTTTTAACCCATCCCACATTCCAAGTGATGGTAGCTATTATGTGTTATGGGAATTGCCTAGTCGCAATCGATACTTCCATGCTGTTCAGCCTCTGTTGTCTTTCATTTGAAACATGACAAATGTGAAAGGATCCTAACCAGCAAATGATTCATCCTTAATTAGCAAATGAATCCAAATGTGGAAAGGTCTTAGCCAGCAATGAATCATCATTGTTTTCAGTTAGTAACTAAAATATGGTCATTAAAAACATGGTGGGTTAAACATCGGCAATTTAACAACCATGTACTGAGCACAAAATATGTGAAGTAGGTACTGTGTAGTTACTACAGGAACAAAAAAGGGGGTAGTAATGATCTTTGTCCTTAAAGAACTCACATTCTAATAGGAGAGACCAGATAAGCTGCCAAGGCACCCCCCATAGCTACTACAAAACAGAGGAAGTAAGGTAGAAGAGATGAAGCACCATGGGGCTCAAATATAGGAGAGACTGTCTGCCTGGAGCCATTAGTAAAAGCTTGTGGTCATTGAGAAATGGCCAAGCTCTGACAGAGAAGTAGAGGAGGAGAGGGCACTGTAGGTAGAGTGAGAACAAGAACAAAGGTACAGACGTACTGTGGAGAAGATAAGCAGTTAGGACGAGTGGCTGTTGAGAATGCTGAATATTCTAATTAGTTAAAGCTTAGGGCAACCATATGGGGGCAGGAGTATGGTTGAAGATTCAGCAAATAAAAATATAAGACACTCAGTTATGTCTGAATATCAGAGAAACAATAAGTAAATGTTTTAGTATATGTATATCCCATGCAGTATTTAGGATATATATATACTAAAACACTATTTGGTGTTTATCTAAAACTTAAATTCAACTAAATGGCCTGTATTTCATCTGGCAACTCTCAAGAGACACCTTGGATTCCAATCCCCACTGAGCACAGAGCCCAATGCAGGGCTCGATTCCACACCCTTGAGATCACCGCCTGAGCCAAAGTCAAGAGATACTTAACAAACTGAGCCACCCAGGTGCCCCAAACATGATTTTTTTGATACTGTACAGTGAATTACATGAATGTTGACAAGATCTGTACAGCTCAGTGCACCAGTATTTTTCAAATGATTGATGCGTGGGTAAAAAATTTAGTCAGAATGCAAGATAGATCAATGCATTTTAATCTAGTAGAGTAGGAAAAATTCATTGATATGGTTTCAGATTGCACATTGTAAGTGACCTTTAAGAAACTGTCATTTGCTGAGTTTTGGTGCAATGTGAAGGAAGACTATGCACAATTATCTGAAAACACTATTGAAATACGGCTCTTTTCTCCAACCACATATCTGAGCGAGGCCAGTTTTCTTCCTATATTTCTACTAAAACTTCTTACAACAGATTGAATGAAGAAGCAGAAATGAGAATCCAGCTGGCCTTCCGAAGGCCAGATATTAAAGGTCTGCAAAAATGTGCAAGACTGCCACTCTTCTCCTTAATGTTTTTTAGAAAAAAGTTATTTTTCATAAAATACATAAACTTATAATGAGTTTATTATCACTCTTTTTTAAATGGATGGATATACATATATTTAAAAATTCTGTTTTAATATCCAACATGGATAATAATGATAAGTATAACCCACAAAAACAAAGCCTCTCTGGGGTCCCTAATAATTTTTAAGATGTAAATGGGACCTAAGAACCTAAGAATGACTGCCAAAGATGAAGAGGGAAATTGAGGATCCAAATATGAAAGATTCGACACACTGGGGGCCCTTAAAAGAACAAGAAAAGCCAAGAGAATAAGTGGGGTTCATGCGGAGATGGTGGAGAGGGTATAGTAGTCTATTGGGTTTTGAACATGCAGAGTGCCTGCAGTACCTAGAGATGAAGTCCAGCAGGCAGCTGGGAATACTATCTGGAACTTGAGAGAAAGATGTGAGATAAGGACTTAGATTCGGGATTTACTTTCATAGAGACAACAGTCAGGAACAAAAGCCTTGCTCCATTTGATGAGAGAATCAAAAGGAAGCAAAACCTTGAGTGGGAGTTATCCAGACTGAAGGAATAGAAGGAAGACAAAGTACGAAGAAAAATGAAAGAAAAGTCTCTAAGAGGAGAAAACCCAAACTAGTACAGAGAATTGCAAACAAATTTATTGTTTGTTTAGGTTTTTTTTTTTTTAGATTTTATTTATTTACTCATGAGAGACACAGAGGAGAGAGGCAGAGACACAGGCAGAGGGAGAAGCAGGCTCCATGCAGGGAGCCGGATGCGGGACCCAATCCTGGGACCCCAGGATCACACCCCGGGCCCAAGGCAGATGCTCAACCGCTGAGCCACCCAGGCGTCCCTGTTTGTTTAGTTTTATCAAACACTGGGCTGTAGCCAGGCACCAGCCCAGGCAGTTGACATGAATGCTCCTATTCATTTCATGCAGTGACCTTAGAAGACCGTATCAATCATCTCATTTTGCAGATGAGGAAGGGGAGGCTGGGCTCTCGACCACTACACTTGGTTCTGAATTTGGAGAGGATGCTAAATAGTGTCAAATACTTCAGAGAGTCTAACAGAGGGAGAATGACCGAGAAAAGGCGAACGGGATAGACAAGTAGTCAGAAGGCTCTTCAGGAGAATCGGGTAGCCCAGGATTTGGAAACTGCCAGTAAAGCAGAGTGCAAAATATCTGTTTTGTTTTGTTTTGTTTTGTTTTGTTTTTTTAGGAGAAAGGGAGAGAGTGTGCTGTGGGGGAAGGAAGGAGGGAGAGAGAGAATCTTAAGTAGGCTCCAGGCCCAGTGCAGAGCCTGATGCAAGGCTCAGTATCACGACCCTGAGATCATGACCTGAGCTAAAATCAAGAGTCTGACACTGAGCCACCCAGGCGCCCTCAGAGCACAGATATCTTTGCAAAAACTTAAGGGTGTTAGGAAGCAAAAGCCAGAAAAGATAGCAGTGATATAGGAATACTACAGTTCCCTTTATTAAGAGGGGGGGAGGGACATTTCTGATTTTTATATTATTTTACATAATTCTGCATAGCAGATTCCCCAACCCCTAGGGATCACATGTAGATGCAAGAGGCACAGAATTTCAGGGGTGACCTACATGCATTCCAGTGTTCTCTGTTCTGCCCAGCCCGCCCTGGAACCAGCTTTAATGACTTGTCTTTTTCAAAGTGTAAGAGTTGAGCAGTCAGCTTCAGGAATCTGACTGAAAATCATGTTCATGCACTTTTGGAGACTGAATATCTTTCTGTCTCGAGGGCTGGAAACGTGCCTGTCATCTCCTGTTCAGCTCTACCCTGCCCCACTGCCGTACTGAGGTCAGGGAACGACTGCTCTGATGTGAAGTCACAGCCACAAAAATTTACTCATTCAGATGGTATTTTTTTCCATGAAGACAGTCAAGCCTTACATGCTTGTAGAGTGAAGCTTTTAGTAGGGAAAAGAGGTGAGCAAATTATTAATATCGATGACAATTTACGTCTTTCAAATGATCTTTTGAAGTGTGCATAGAATTTGTGAACATTAGCTTAGGAATCACCCTTTCTGGAATGAACTGTGTGATCATTACAATGATCGTGAAGCACTTCTCACAATCCTCTGTCTAGGTAGAGCATGACAGGTCGAAGAACAAAATCAGCTGAAATGAGGGAGCTCTGCTCTGAACCAGCCGAGAAGGCAAGTGGGATCGACTCTTGGTTTCTCATTAAGTAACACGTTATCCAAGTGCTTAGCTGGGCATCTTCCACTTTGTAAGAACTCAGTCACTGCTAAGCGGGTCTGAAATGGTTCCCATAAGTCAGTATGTGACAGTGGCACGTAGCACGCTACACGGAGTGGATAATCACACCTGAGCGACGACTTACCGAAGCTGGCAATGCCTCCCTCCATGAAATCTCTTGCCAACTAAACTACCACAGTAACTGAAATTTCACGGTGGTTGTTTTGATTTTGGTGTTTAGGTTAAGCCCTGATTTCTCAATAGCTCTGCCCCCGTCCCAAGGAGTAATGTATTAAGATACCAGCAGTTCAATGTGAATTAGTTTGAAGGTTCTTTTTTCTATGATGCAAAGGTTTGTCACGCAAAGTGAAGTGGTTTGGGCAAGGGATGGGGAGGTTTTCCTGCAAGTGAGGAGACAGGTTTGTAAAGTGAGGCTGTTTATGCTTCATAATTTCATGATTTCTCCTTATTATTCAGCTTTTGGCCAGCTGGTACAGGCTTCATATCTAAAGACTCCATTCCCAAGGGAAGAGTCCAAATACAATTTGCCCCTGAGGTTGTCAAAATAAATGTCGTAACCTGAGTGCATGTCTCTAACTACCTACTAGACCATGAGTCTTTCCCTTTCCACTTATCACCCTTCTTTATTTACCTTTTTGATCTTTCTCCTTTAGTGACATTTCACAAATGTGCAGAAAGACTTACCCAGGGAAACTCTTGCCGGAATAGCTCCCCGGTCAGTCCAAAATGAAATCCGTGAAAGCATCACCGTCAGCAGAGCTGGGAAATAGGTTTGTAGCATGAAGAAGAAAATATGCCTCCTTAGCACAAAGTTGATGAAAAGCCTGTTGTACCAACCTATGAGAAAAAGCCAGAGTTTTCCTTAGAATAGGCTTCCTCATGAAAGCATCACACTTAGTGAAATGACCTGCTTCTTTAAACTCTAAGCTCTAAGGGAACATGGAACTGAACACGCTCACCCTTGTTTACCCAGGAGGAGGGCAGGGCCTGGGCCTGGCGCTCCATCAATGTTTGTTGAACTAACAGACCTGTAGTCTGTTTCCTTATGTGATTCAAAGATTTCCCTTAAATTTCATAGCTGCTGTTTAGGAATGAATGGTAATTATATTTTGTGGAATGGCCTTTAAAGACCTTTCTCCAAAATATATTGGGTTTGCATTGTTTCCGCAAGTGGGCAAATCTTCAATACATGACTAATGACCAGGTGCAATAGCCAATAAATCATTTATTAGCTATAACAAATGAAAGGGAACATTTTATCTGAAGGAAAAGATTCACAGTAGCTACTGAGTCATTGGATTCCAAGTTGGAATCCAGACAGCGAGGGATTCATCAAGGGAGTGGGTGAAAGAAATATTTGTAAAGTGTTTGTATTATTCAAAGTCTGGTGGGTACCATTAGTTTATCTATAATAATTCTGAAAAAAAAAAGAGTAACCAAATGATGATGTTTCTTTGCTTCTGGCTGGAATTATATAAGCGCACATTGGTAATATTGATTAATTCATGCTGATCAGAAGCAACGATTGCAGTCACATACACACAATTTTGTTCAGGCTTCTCTTTTCACATTGGCTGCAAGAAAGTTGAAAGCCAAAAGAGAAGGGACTATAGGTTAAAAATTTCAAAACAAAACTATAAGCATTGCAAAAGTGTTTAGAGAACCCTACTACTGGTGTCAGTAGTAATTTCTTAGGAAACTCAAGATGGCACATTTATTAGATGGATCAGGTCAATATTCAGGCATTCGGCCTAAAACATAAACCCAGCAGACCCACCCTGAAATGGCAGGTCTGCTCTTAGTACTCTATCCTCATTTAGACGCTCATGACCTTCTCGTCCCTATCTGTTCTGAGGTTCTCCTTCACCATCATATGTGTTTCAGGAATATCAAACAATTTCATTCCCCAGGGAAATAAAAGACACATTGCATAGTGCATACTAAAGTCAGAATATACATTATTTTTTGAGCTACTCATTGTCTTGTATTATCCATGCTGCGGTCCCACTTCATTACTGCGGGCAGCTGAAAATTTGGATTATAGCTGCAGAGTGGAATAACAGCTTCTCTGACGGTATAACTTTATAGATTTACTGTGAGATTAAAAGGGATAAAGAAAATCTGTGGAAGAACTTCATAAAGAAAGGCACTGTTAGTTATATGGTTTTAACTCTGAACTAAATTTTGGTCAGAAGGTCCTTTCTTGACTCCTAATTTTCTGAATAACAACTTTGTCTTTGGCAAGCGAGTGAGAGGCATGCTGCTCTGCTGTGTGGCTCTTCAGGGCATGGGAGGATAGAGAGAGTATCGTGGTTGAGGCTGTAGGCCAGGAAGAGATCTCTCCACCACCAGGAAAGGTGGTGCTGCCTTGGAAAGATGTGGAACCCTTGGATAGCATGATAAAGCATCTGGCTCCACTTTTGATATTTGACTTCTCACAGCACCCAAGCCACATTCTTCCTTCCCCTTCTGTCCCACATCTGGGCAAGGTAATAAGAAAGCCTGGTGCTCCCTCTTTGGGGACCCACAGGAAATTCAAACCATGCAGGGGAGTCCTCCCTCTAGTCCCCACCTAACCACCACAAAGCCCCAAGCCAGTCACCCCTCCCTGTTTTCTCAAGCCATTTTCAGACCTACTTAGGAGCCAACCCTGCTCCTCTAGAAAACCTCATTATGTGTGTAATAAATCTCTTTATAAAACCCTTTTGCTACCTTGTGGCATCATCAATTTTGACATTTGAACCACATTCTGGATGGAAGGGCCCATCAGCTTCTACCAGATTGTTACATGGTAGAAAGATGGGGAGTTTATGAAAGAGAAAAGAGAACTGGAGAGTTGGCAGTCAGGAAAATGCAAGAGGGGAAGTGATTCAAGAGTCAGTCCCAAGACAAGGTTCCAGGAGGTTTTGTACCTGGAGACTGTTACCTTCAGTGGCCTGTGATACTAAAGGCCTCATTCGGTGTTTAAAGGATCAAGACAATGTTGTTGGGATGCCTGGGTGGCTCAGCAGTTGAACACCTGCCTTTGGCCCAGGGCGTGATCCTGGAGTCCCAGGATCAAGTCCCACATTGAGATCCCTGCGTGGAGCCTGCTTTCTCCCTCTGCCTATGTCTCTGCCTCTCTCTCTCTCTCTCTCTCTGTCTCGTCTGTGTCTCTCATGAATAAATAAAATCATTAAAAAAAAAGATGATGTTGTTGATGAAAATAGTGATGCTAGCTACAAGCTAATATTTCCTGAACACTTAACACATGGCAGACAATATTCAAAGTTATTTATTGTAGACAGTATTCTAAATTATTTAAATGTATTAAATCATGTATCCTCACAACCCTAGGAGGTAGGAACTGTTATAAACCAAGTTAAAGATGAAGACATTGAAGCTTGAGATTAAGCAACTTGCCCACATTTCTAGTAAATGGTAGGGCCAAGATTTGAACTCATGCAATCTGTCTCCAAAACTTGTACTTTAACCACTACATTATGCTCCAATAAAGAGTAATTACCAATGCATTCTTTAGGGACAGAAGTCATTTTTTTCCCTTTGTAAATTTACAGTGCATGATTGTGAGGGACACTGAAAGGCATGAGAGGGCAGAGGCCCTCACTAGCTTGTTAATATTGCCAGAGAGAGGTAAAGATGATGCCAAGGGGAAAAAGTCAGGACCTGATGGTTCAGCTATCGAGGGGACACTAAAGTTATATAATTATAGCTATACTTCTGATTCCTCTAACCAGAGCCAGTAGTTTTTTTTTTTTTCCCCCTTCGGTAGAGCTGATTTGGCTATACAGAGGTTATGGTGATTGTTATGATCATTGGAATGAAGACAAAAAATAAGCAGATTATTTCTGATGAAGCTAATGTGTTTAAACAGGATACTAATCTGAGAAAAACACTTGGGGTTAGGTCTTGGGAGATCATATTTAATAACTCATGGATAAGGTGAGCCTGGATTATATTTTTGAGCTAAAATAAATTTCTAACTGATGAGCTTTCTGAAACCTAAGAATTGTTGAATAAACCCAGATATGATTAATAACTTGATATTTGGGGGTGCCTGGGCAGTGCAGTTGGTTAAGTGTCTGTCTCTTGGTTTTGGCTCAGGTTGTGATCTCAGGCCCCGCGTTGAGGTCTGTGCTCAGTGTGGAATATGCTTAAGAATCTCTTCCTCTGGGATCCCTGGGTGGCGCAGCGGTTTGGCGCCTGCCTTTGGCCCAGGGCGCGATCCTGGAGACCCAGGATCGAATCCCACATCGGGCTCCCGGTGCATGGAGCCTGCTTCTCCCTCTGTGTCTCTGCCTCTCACTCTCTCTCTGTGTGACTATCATAAATAAATAAATACAAATTTAAAAAAAAAAAAAAGAATCTCTTCCTCTCCCTCTGCCCTCTCCCCCACTATCTCTCAAATAAATAAAGAAAATCTTTTTAGAAAGGTGATATTTGACTACAATTTCCAAAATTCTTTACTCTAATATTTTTATAGTCTTAAAGCCGTTTTAATCTTTCTTATTAAAAATGTATGCATTAAAACAGTTAAAAAATACAGAAGTGTTGAAAATATCCCCAATCTATACTCAATTCTTAGAAGTATCAATTGTTAATCTTCTTAGACATTAAAAAACCATATATATAAGTCCTTCTTAAAATAACAAATATGAGAGCATATATATTCTCCTGTAACATGATTTAAAAAATTTTAAATTTACTATATAGATAATTCTCTATAATTCTATGCAAACCATGTATATGTAAACCTAATTCTTTTCTTTTTTCATTTTTCTGAGAAATCAAAATGTTTTTTTTTCTTAAAAATGTAACCATACTGGAATGTTAGGAATTTTTAGTGGGTTTTAAAACACTTAAAAGCATCTTTTGGAGCAGAAAGTTCTTCAATGCAAGTATTTTGTGTGGTTTTAGACAGACTTTAAAACATTACCAGAAGAAGAAAAAATCAACTAGTGTTGGACCTGACTGGTACGGCTTAATAAGTCTGACAATGACAAATAACAAGGCACTGAAGCCAATGGAATGGCATGTTGGAGAAGTAAGAATTTGGAAATGAAATTTAACCTTTTCCTTTTAAAATTTTTTTTTTTAATTTTTTTTTTTTTATGATAGTCACACACACACAGAGAGAGAGAGAGAGAGAGGCAGAGACATAGGCAGAGGGAGAAGCAGGCTCCATGCACCGGGAGCCCGACGTGGGATTCGATCCCGGGTCTCCAGGATCGCGCCCTGGGCCAAAGACAGGCGCCAAACCACTGCGCCACCCAGGGATCCCCGCTTTTCCTTTTAAGAGTATAGCTGAGTGTATATTAAAGGATACTTGTGCTTCAAAATCTGAAGAAACGTCACTGCCATTATTATACATGTAGTGTGTATTCTGTGCAGGAAACAACATCCTTAGATTTCTATGCTTCATATGCATGACACTGTAATAGCTTCAGACATTGCAAAGACTTATTCATAATCTATCATGTGCCAGATTTATTCCATCATAACAGTAAAATGAAAATAGCTGTAAATTATATTTCGACATGTACTATTGTTCATTGCATCCACTCTTGTTTAAATATTAATTAAATTTAGGATTCAGAGCGTTACAAATCTTGACAGAAACATCCTCACACAGTTAACTCTTGAACAGTGTAGGGGTCAGGACTGCTGGTCCTGGTGCACTTGAATATCTGCCCAGAAATTTCTAGTCCCTCCAAACCTAACTACTAGCAGCCTACTGCTGTTTGGAAGTCTCACTAAATCCAACAGTTGATTTAGACATGTTTTGTATGTTATATGTATTATATACTGTATTCTTACAATAAAGTAAACTAGGAAAAATGTCAAAAAAATCCATAAAAGAGAGAAAATACATGTGCAGTGTCATACTGTATTTATCGAAAAAATTTGCATATAAGTGCAGTTCAAAGTCATGTTGCTCAAGGGTAAACTCTGTTTACTTATATAATAATTCTTTTTTTTTAATTTTTATTTATTTATGATAGTCACAGGGGGGGGGGGCAGAGACACAGACAGAGGGAGAAGCAGGCTCCATGCACCGGGAGCCCGATGTGGGATTCGATCCCGGGTCTCCAGGATCGCGCCCTGGGCCAAAGGCAGGCGCCAAACCGCTGCGCCACCCAGGGATCCCCTGTTTACTTATATAGAGAAAGATTAGAGAGAAAAGAAAAAGGAGAACAAAATATATAAAAATAATAAGTTTGTATCTATGAGGTGGGATGACAAAGGCTTTTTCTTTAAACTTCTCTGATTTTTTTTTCAAATTATGTGCCTTTTATTCACTCATTCAGCAATTACCTATTTTTTTATTTATTTTATGATAGAGAGAGAGAGAGAGAGAGAGAGAGAGAGAGAGGCAGAGACACAGGCAGAGGGAGAAGCAGGCTCCATGCAGGGAGCCCGACGTGGGACTCGATCCCGGATCTCCAGCATCGCGCCCCGGGCCAAAGGCAGGCGCCAAACTGCTGCGCCACCCAGGGATCCCCAGCAATTACCTATTGAGCAGCTACTATGTGCCAGAGGTATATCAATGACCAAAACCAATAATATGTGTTACTTATATAATCAGAAAAGGCCATAAGTGTTACTACAGTTAGTAGCATTATCTGCTGAATCCCAAGCAAAATAGACAAATAAGTTAAAGAGAGTATTTGTTCTGGATCTAAACAGCTAAATAACTGTTGGTTCTAGAAAGTCCTTTAGCTTCGCTGTGATGTAAATTTTGTCTTCTCTCTTAGTGATTCAGGGTGTTTATTTACAACCCGATAACTCCTCTCCAGAGTCAAAGGGCAGAATAGAGCACGTCCAGGGAGAAAAGTCAGTAGGTAAAAGCATTTGAGACAGGGTGGCTCTGAAACCCAGGGGCAGCACACACTGTCCAGGCTCCTTACGGCTTCGAAAATCTAAAATGGCATTTTATATGGAATCTTCCAGAAATGACGCAGAATGCTAATAACCAGGGAAGAGGAAGCTACGTGGGGCTTTAATCAACAGGGATCAAGTATAATTTAAAAAGCGCTGTGGATACTACTCTGTGTTGCCAAACAAGAAAATGTCTGTCAGAGAAAAGAGTCTGCAATACAGGCCGGATATTGAGTGGATTTTCTGCTTTTCGGACTGATTCACCCAGCAATGCCTACTGAGTATACGTGCTGCCCCAGCAAGCACAGCGGTGTTTCCCGGGCATCTGTCATGTGCGGAGCCCGTTTCAGGGGCCGGGGAAGAAATGGTGAACGAGGCAGACAGATTTCTTGGACTCTTTCTAGTCAGACCCTCAGACAATAAAGCAGTCAACTAGAGACTATTTCAGGTAGTGTTAAGTGCTGTGAAGACAAACAGGCAGGGAATGGTGAGGAAGGAGGCCTGGTTTAGACATGACCGTTAAGAAAGCACTCTTTGAGGTCATATTTGAACAATGCCCTGAACGGAAGGAGGGAGCTGGTCATGAGAAAACTGGGGGAAAATCATTCCAGGTAGACGGAGAAATAGGCCAAAGCAGAAGCCCTGTGGGTAGAAGGAGACCTGGTGTGTTTGAGGACAGGCAAGAAGGGAGAGATCAGAGAGGTAGATCATGTGGGCTTTGTAGGCCATTTGAGAAGCTTGAGTTTTGTTGTTAGTGTGGTGGAAACACCGTGGAGGGTTTTAAGCAGGAAAGAATTGTGGTCTTTGTCTTTTCAAAGAAGGCTCTGTCTGCTGTGTTAAGCGTAGACTGCAGGGGCCAGGTGTGGGAGAAGGGTGTTCACCTGGAAGTGACTGCATGAGGGGGCGAAGTCCCATGCTGGGCAGGTGGAGGAGGTGGCCTGTAAAGGAGGGAAGAGGGTATCGGCCAAACAGGACCCTTGTTGGGATTCCGGTCTCTTCACCTGTGGTGCAGTGGTGCTCTGCAAACAGTAGGTGCCCAGTAAGTGCTGATGAATTGTCCACATAGGATAACACAGCTGTGCTGCTGTAGAAAGCAAATCCACTGGATGCAGTGAACTCCTCAATGAAGGGAAATACGCTCACCAGGATTTAGGGACTTGTTTCCATGTTTCCAGTACAGCATTAGATCCTGCTCACTGGAGGCGTCTGAAGCAAGACAGCAAGGTTCTTGGCATGAGAACAAGCTCTCGTGAGCTCCAGGAGCTCTACGACCTCGATTTATGGAGCTCTGCGTCCCCGGTGCCTGGTCCAATGACACGAATATATCAGATACTGAAAAACATTTGCCACGAGGCTGTTGATCCCCGTACCTACCAAAAGAAAAAATAATCTCCAAAAATCAGACTCTAATTTCTGGCATAGTACGGCGGCCTTTCGTGTGCCCATGTGATGAACTCTCCACAGAGCTGCTCCCTGCCCCGCGAGCACCGAGGATCACCAAACCACTGCCGGTTCCAAGTCACAGGCCTGACCCCAGGTCTCCGGGCCCCCTCAGTCTTGTAGGTCTCTGGGAGGAAATGCCGAAACGAGCTGAGCTCATAAGGAATTATCTTCTGCAATCGAAGAATGCTATAGAAAGCTTCTAATGGATTTGATGAGCAACAGCCACTGAAATTCCCAGCATTTTGGCCACATTACAAAAACCTGCCATCAGCTTTTAAGGGGTCATATCAAAAACAATCGAGGGGCCCAAGCGACTGACAAAGGCTGGCTCAGGAGCCCTCTGTCAGGGTTTGATTAGAGGGTCTAGGTCTAGAGCTGCCTTTTTCTGGGGAACCCGAGCACATTTCATGGAAGATGGTGACTTATATGGGAACATGAATTCTAGAGCTTTCCAAATTTGGGGAGTATGTCAGTCTATGTTCATAAATCAGCAAGAATATACCCCTTTGGGGAGTTTGTTTCTTTATAAGCAGTGCAGAAAGTGCAGAATGTGTACTCATGAAAACATTCTTTCCTTGCGTGTTCTCTTTTGAGAGACAATCTGCCATCATCCTTGGTTTTAAAAAAAAATTACAATTTTGAATTAATATGTTTAACTTATATCAAGATTTTTAAATGCTCATTAAGAACGTGCTTGTTTTCATGCAGGTGTGTGATGGCATGTCCAGATCAAGAGTGCTCACTCCATCAGGAAGTAAGACTTACAGCTTTCCAGTTTGAGGGAACAAGTGTCAAGAGTGTCCTCGTTCTGAGTGTCAAGAGGAAACCTGCTGAAATCCATAAAGCACATGGCTGAAACAGCCTGTAGCAGGAGAGAGAAAACAAAAACTGCAGGTCGTTTCACCATATGGCCAAGTAAACAGGCAATATTGAAGCTCCTTGACTGTGGCGCCTGTTTTGTGTGCCTTTCAAGAAGAAGGCAAAGCAGGCATTCCCATCCTCTGTGGACGTAACGAATAAGGAAGCAAACCCAGGAAGGTGGGTGGTTTTCTGAAGACAGAGGGTGAACGCGTGCATTCCAGCTCTAAAGATCGTTTCTGATCTCATGGTCTCCTAGTTGGTGCCCTCTATATTTGTTGGCTCTGATATCTTTAGAAAAACATACTTCAAAGGGAGAGGACTTTGAAATAGATTTAAATATTTTCTGCTTTTTGGAAGATCCAAAGTTAGGTGTCTAGTCATAAAGGGCTGGGATGGTGGTAATAAAAACCGATGGGTAGAGGTTCCTCTCACAAAGCAAGTTTACCTGAAAAAATTCTCTTTCCAGGAGTGAGGAGAAGGCCTGGAGCATTTTCAGTTATAGATTTATGTGCACAATGCATAATTCAGGTGCCATTAAGGCTTGCATACTGATGAGGATTGTTTTTTCAAATTTTATATCCTCCTAGATTTTTCTGGCTTTAGGCAGAGGCTGCTATACTATGATCCTGCCTCAAAGTAGAAACTCTGGTACCCACACCACAGATCAGAGGGTTATAAAAGGCCCCTGAGCAAGTTTGCACAAAACAAAGGCAACAGCTGCTCCTACCCATGGTGCCCCCAAGTTAATCAGAGAACTAGAATCATTTTATCTTCCACGGGTTGAATTCTACTGTCAATAGTCATGCAGCAAAACGCCAAGCCAGGGAGGTATATGGATGATTTTGTGTCACAAAACATAGTCATTTTGGCATATCCCTGGCACAGGTGATCTTTGAACAATGCATGGGTTGGAGGTGCCAACCTCTGTGAGTTGAAAATCCTGCGTAAATTTTGACTCCCCAAAAACTTAATTATTAAGAGCCTACTGTTGACCAGAAGCCTACCAACACCATAAAGTCAATTACCACATATTTTAGATGTATTTTATACTGTGTTCTTACAGCAAAGCTAGAAAGAAGAAAATGTTATTAAGTCATAAGAAAAAAAAGAGTCATAAGAGAAAATGTATTCACAGTACTATACTATATTTTTAAAAGATTCTCATAAAATAGATGTGCACAGAAGGGACCTCTGAAGTCTTTGAATCTACCTCCTTCATAGGTGTAAATCAGCAAAGTGATCGCCTAAGAGGTGGTAAAGAAAAAACTATTTATGGCACTTGTTAAAGAATAGTAAGGAAGATTTTATTGAGGGGGACTACTATAATTTGGTTTATTAACAAGGGAGAGAGGGGAGGACTCAACTCCAAATACAACAAGGAAATGTCGGAATTTATAGCCAAGGAGCAGGCTACATTACTCAGAGGAGACATCACGGGGCAGGGGGAGGGGAGGGGGAATCTGTCTAAAAGGACCTAACAGGATTCTTGCTGAAGGTGGGACACTGTGGTCAGACATCACCTGGGGTGGTGGAGGATGAGGAATATGATCAGATTGGAGGGTGATCAGATATTGAAGACGGGAGAATTCTGGCTAAAGGCACTTAGCAGAGATAAACACAAAAGCTCAAAAGTCAGGGTCTAGGTGAGAAGAAAGTTCAGAGGAGCCTAGCAGAGTTTGGTCAAAGAGAACATCTTTGTTCGTAGATGGAGTCAGAACCAATCCTAGAACTGGATAACCTGGCTCCGGGCTTAGACTGACTCTGGTGTCAGCTAGAAGAGCTGTGTGGACAACAATTTTGAGTCTTTCTGTGTTTGGGGATTTCCCAACCACACCCTCAGTTTCCATGATTTGCTAGGACTCATCAAAGTGGTTACGCTAATAGCTATGGCTTACTGCCACGAAAGGACACAGATGAAAATCAGCGATGGAAAAGGCACAGAGGGTAGAGGCCAGTAGGGGCCAGGAGCAAGTTTCCAGCTGTTGTGTCTGGTGGACAGTGACAAATGGCCACATGCATGGAGTACTGCCAACGAGGGAAGGTACGTGAGCCTTGAGGTCCAAATGACTAACTAAGAGGTGGTCACATAGGTCTAGCCGACGTTGGTCTCCAGCCCCTCCAGAGGTCAAGCTGATACCAGGTAACTCAAAGCCTGCTCCATAAATCTCATTGTTAGCAGGGACTATCTGGTGTGGCCCAAGCCTCAAGGTCAACAAAGATCCTCTTATCAGGCAGGATATTTTGAGGGATTAGAGATTATCTCCAAGGAGCCAGAAATCCTTCCTTGGAATGTGCAGGGTAAGGACAATCTACTGAATTAATTCTTTCATCAAAATAATTAATTTTAAAAAGTTAAAAGGTTTAAGAAGTTGATTCCTTGGCCAGATGCTGCTTCTGATTCCTCGTGAGGCCCGACTCCAGTACTTACCAGAATCCCATGTTGCTCCTGACTTAAAAGTTCTATCGAAAGTTGTACTTTCATTATATTTTTAAGAAACATTGACAGCAAATATGACCCTATCACCTTTGTACTAAAGTGAGCAAGGTGTTTTTTAATGAACAAAAAGAATCTGTGTTAATTTACTATTGCCACTGTAACAAATTATCACAAACTTGGTGCCTTAAAACAACACAAATTTATTCTCTCACAGTTCTGGAGGCCAGAAGTCTGAAATTAGTATCACTGCACTGAAATCAAGGTGGCAGAAAGGCCCTGTTCCCTCCAGAAGCTCTAGGGGAAAAGTCAATCCTTGCCTCTTACAGCTTCCGGCAGTTGTTAGCATTCCTGTGCTGGTGGCTCTATCATTCCAATCTCTGTCTTAATGGTCACATTGCCTTTCTCTAACCAGGATTCTTATGATTGATTGCATTTAGGTCCCAACCAACTGATCCAGAATAATTTTCTTATCCCAGGATCCTTAACTTAATCACATCTGCAAAGATCTTTTTTTTTTTTTTTTTCTTTTTAAGGCCAAATGAAGTGACTTTCACATGATTCAAGGACTAGGACAATGGATATCATTTGGGAACCCTTTTTTTTTTTTCAGTCTTACTACAGAGTCTTTCTGGGATTTCTAAGACATTAAAAAAAATGAATTAAACCTGATTTACTAAGCATCTTTAGAATTACCAATTATAAGCCCCGCAGTATGTACAGGATGCATTAGGCTAAAAGAACATATGGTATGTAAAAGATGGAGGGCTGTTATAGCATAGTGTCAGAAAAAAATATTTTGAATTAAAGAAGTGAAAAGGGAGTAAACAAATTAGTGGTAATTTGAATGATGACTATACTTTCTTGTGAAAAATGAAGGAGATAATTAAGAACGCTATTTAGTTAATCCAAGATTCCGAGATTGCTTGTCAATGTGCAGTTAGTAAAGAAGAAAAGCAATTTTGTGCACCTATAAAATTGTGGGCCAGACTTTTAGGGATTTCCATAATTCAACTCTGCTCTGGCCAACCTTATTTTCTATCAATCCCCAATGATGTGTTGAGTAGATAGATAGAGAACTATTTTTTAAAATCTGGAAGTTAGAACAAGGAAAAAAAAAATCACATGTTCTGTGTTTGTCCCAATCTTCAGCATCACTAAACAGACAGTAAGTAATATTGTGAGCTTAGCTAGTAGTGAGATCCACTAGCTTTGGTGTAGACCTCCCTGGTTATAGGGAAGCCTATGATGGTCCACAGCCCTCCTGACCTGAGAGTGAAGAGGACTGTTTACAATAGGGTATACATGAAGCATGATGTTCTCCACAGGTTTTTTTTTTTTTTATCATGAATGAAGGATCTTTTGGAATGGACAAAAAAGATGTCAGGCACCCAAATCTTTTTGATCAATCTACGATCAAAGGTCATGCTTTTGTTTGTTGTGCTAGGAAAGGAGCCTCTCATCTTTCCAGTAATGTCTGAGATAAAAAAAAAAAAATCATTGTAAAGTCCTAGGCAGAGAGAAAAAGAGACAAGTCAAAGCCAGTAGGAAGATGGTTCAGGATGACCAATTAACACCATTTGTCCTAAACTGATGGGCATGGATGTTAATGACCTATAATGTGAATGGCTTATATTGTATTTTCAGGTAGATTTAGGATGAAGCCAGTGAGCTTGACTTGCAGAACCTCTCCTTCACCTGGAGTCTGGTGAATGTTGAGTTTCTACGAACCATAGAGAATTCAAGTTGGGAAAGGGAAGCCAGGTTAAAACTGGGAAACATTTCTACATAAGCACTGATAAGTCACCTAAAGAGATCTCAGAAGAAAAGGACTTGGAACTACATGGCCCATTATTTTATTTTCACTTAGTTTTTTCATTTCATTGTAAATGAATGTTCACTTTTATAATGGTTTCTGCATCCATAAATTTGTATTATTTTTGTTTAAAAAAGCCCCTTCTCCAAGTTGAATAAATTATGGTCCCACAAAAACAGATACAGTATTTCTTAGAGCTGTTAGTAGAAAGCATGCTGTCAGAGATCCTGAGAAGGAAATGATTTTCCTCAGCTTGAGAGACAAAAAGAATACCAAGAAGTTCTCAAATTCTACTGTGCAAAAGACTTAGCCATGAATTTGTTAAAATGGCACATTCCCCAGAAGCTAATACCCTGAGCTTCTGATCCAGTATGGCTCAGGGAACTGAATTATTTATTAGTGTGTAACCCAATTATAAAGAGATAAGGATGGTAGGGGCTCTATTAACATTATTTTAGCAGAAAAAAAATTAGGTCAGTCAATACTTTGAGCTTGTCTGGCTCTCAGAAACTACATTTAATATTTTGTTTGAACAAAGACTCCCCTAGCTATGTCCAAGTCAGTGGGTGTGGATGATGATGATGTGTTTCACCTTTTACAACTGTTTACTCCTTCCTATCATTTATTTCCCAACAATACTCAGATTATTCTTGAAGTAGCACATGTGACAGAACTTGACATTTATTATACAAGCAAAAAACAAATCTCAATGAACTACAAATAAGTCAGCAGTTAATGATGAGCTAGTTCGGTTCTTTTTTTTAAGGTTCAGAATAGAGGTACTTTGTATTATTGTATTATCTAGGTTAGTCTGGGAGCATCAGCCATGAGTAGTTTTGAATTAGGGTGAGGGCAAATAAACAGAATGATTCATTCATTCCCATAACACTTCAGGGAGTTGTGTGGGTTACTGCAGGGATTGCTTTAGTCAGCATATATTTAGAATCAGGTGCTCAGTCTGATCTGAAGGTCACCACTGAGCTTATGAAGACAAGTGCAGACATTAGTTTACAATAGTTTATACATTTATACATTCCAGTGATACTGCAAAATCACGACTAGTGGGCACTATCATGAGAGAGCAGGATGCACAGCAGGTTGAGACGAAGAGTGGGGTAAAACTTCAACGAATTGAAAGTGAATTCGGGGTGGGAAGATGATAAATGAGAAGCAAAAGAGGCCAACACTGGGGGTCACTGATAATTAGAACACATTTTCACCTTGGGCATGGAGAACCCAGTGCAGTTTTAGCTGATACTCACCCTTATTCAGGTAAGAAGGGTGAATTCTGGTTTTAGGGGCAGTGGGGTGGAGACCATGAGAATTTTAGATGCAGACGGGTCATTCAGGGATAACTTAGAGGTTACGCCAGGATAAAGGAAATGAGTACTTGTTCCTGGAGTACAACAGGCTCAAGAAAATGTCGGTAGAAGCTGGTTTTGGTCAGGGAAGAGCCAAAATGTTCTAAACAAGGTATTTTTGAGTAGTGAGTACTCTTGGTGCTATTCACTTTGGGAGTAGGGTGGTTCAAATGAAGGAAGTTCCATATTTAAACTTGAAATAAATATTGAATTTGATAATGATAAGGACTAGAAAAACAGTAGCTGAAAATGGAAACAAGAAATAACAAGTCATAGAAAATTTTGTTTAGAATTTGCTGGAATTTTTATAAGTCTTATAATTTTTCATTCAGTCAGCATTTAGATGGCAATGACTAGTTGGAGGAATCCCTATAAATAAAAATATTAATTAAGTATATATATATATATATATAAATATATATAAAGATAATTTGATCTTACAATTCAATTGATTTATATTTTCTAGGTCCAGTTTCCTTAAGAGATTCCCTACCTTGTTTTTTCTTTCTTTTTTACATTTCTTTCTTTTACATTTTAATTGTAGTATTTGCATATTATAAAAGTAATATATAAAATCTAAATTTCAAGCAGAAAGGAGTGGAAGGAGAGCAAAGTAACTTCAACTCTATGAAGCAAAGTAGGAAAAATACATAGCGGTAACATACATAATTAAAATGGTTTATGAAAACACCAGTGATTTTGATACTATTCTCTATCCTTTCAGGAAAATACCAATATCTGATAGAGAAACTTACCTTAACCTCTGAAATGCTGTCAATACTTTCAACCTGGACATCTATACCCATTGGCACCGGAGATCCTTCAGAAAGAAAAACAAATGATATACTCTGAAATCATTATAATTATTTTGGTAACACTGAAAGCAGGAAAGATCAATGTCACAAGTGAATTACTTAAAAAATTTTTTAACAACAAATTTCTCCATTTTTCTATTGATATATTATTATACAGTCAATTACAATAAAAAGGCACATGTATAAATAAATGTTTCAATAATTATCGCACATTTGCTTAAGACCAGCTCAATATTTTCCTTCATATAGAGTATGGAAGTAGTGTGTTCAATTTTTGTTTGTTTGTTTTTTGTTTTAGCGAGTGGTGATTTAAAAAGGAAAAATGTTTCGAAAACATGTCTAAGGGTATGTAGAATGATGTATTCTCTATGGTAAGGATCATATTTTATAGTCAGCGAGTAGAGTAGCTCATGGAGTTCATGACTCTGAAAGATGTGGGAGCCTCTTCTCTCTTGCCAAAGTCACTTGGGCAGTGCGTGGCGGGTGATAGAGTGCCACACAGGGACCCCGCACGTTCACAAATGTCTCTGACACCAGTCAGCAAAGCCTGCAGTTGGGATGAAGCAAACATCCTTAGAAATGTGCATGATGAGAACGTATTGAAAGTTAGAATCAGAGAAAACTCAGACAAGTGCTAAGACTTGTTGGCAGCTGGGTCTCAATGAACCGGGATGTCGGCATGTGGATGACAAGACCGTAAGAGGATCTAGACCAGAACGAGGCCCAGACATACCCTTGTTACACCTCATGAAGGGTTTCACCACTTCCGGGGTGAGGGTGAACTGATGTTAACAACTCCCCTATTTAGTATCATGCATGGAATTTGACATGTGCATATGTTACAATAGTTTATACATTTATACATGTAGTCTTCATGTTTTATTGTCCTACTGACCAATTCTTAATTCAATTTTATTGTCTGTAGAATTCCGAGTTTAAAAAAAAAAATACTTTCAACACTTTTTGAAACAGAAATCTTGCCCAGGTGGCCCCCAGGTGGCTGTTTTAGTTAAGATTCTGAGACTGAGGGGCACCTGGTTGGCTCAGTGGTTGAGAATCTGCCTTCGACTCAGGTCGTGATCCTGGGGTCCTGGGATCAAGTCCTGCATCGAGCTTCCGACAGGGAGCCTGCTTCTCCCTCTGCCTGTGTCTCTGCCTCTCTCTGTGTCTCTCAGGAATAAAATAAAATCTTTAAAAAAGAAAAAGATTCTGAGATTGAGAAGGGTCGGGCTAGAAAACGTCCTTCCCAAGGCTAAATAATGTCTGGATGTGCTACATGTGATATACACGTGCATATCATTCAACAAAGCTCCGTCGTACTGTGCTTTAAATGCACAACACATTATAAAACATTTTGAAGAAAAGTGTCTACCCTCGGATGCCACCTGACCTCATTTTTGGCTCCTCTGAACTCCATGCCCATGTGTACCTCACTCCAAGGTCTAGGAATCTATATACTCTCCAGGACGGTGTGGAGGGGAAGGGCCATGTAAAGGTAAGATGCAGAATCACAGAATTTTGGAATTGGATGTAAGCTCCATGTATCATTCTTTTTATAGATCAGGAGCTGAGTCTCAGAGGGCAGGTAGCACTAAAGCAGATGGATTAAAAATCATGGAAATTCTAGCTACCAAACCGGAATTAAAGCCAAACTTCCATCCCTTAATTCCTCTAAGTCTCAGTTTGTTCATCTGTAAAATAGGGGAAATAAATCCACGGTACTGACCTAAGAGCGCTGCCTTGAGGCTAGACGAAAGAACGCGTGTCACGTCCTTAACCTAACACCATTCAAACATCTTACCAACCAACCTGTTCAGCATCTCCCGGATCAGTAATGCATATAACAACACGAATAAGAACTTCCCAAATACTTTCATTAATTCCATATATGAAGCATTTGGAATATAGTAAAAGTAAATAAATGTTAACCGGTATGGTTATGTGTTGATTTCCCAGGATCAATATGTAGGTAGTAGCACACACATTTATAGTCTTTTTTTATATGTATATGTAAAGATAGATCATAACTTGTATTTTTTTTAAAGATTTCATTTATCCATGAGACACACACACACAGAGACTTAAAGAGAGAGAGGGGCAGAGACACAGGCAGAGGGAGAAGCAGGCTCCGTGCAGGAGGCCCGACATGGGACTCGATCCCAGGTCTCTAGGATCAGGCCCCGGGCTGAAGGTGGTGCTAAACCGCTGAGCCACTGGAGCTGCCCCATTAATTGTATTTTTATATATGCAGGAAAAAGGAGAGTTAAACAACAGTCATATATCTTATGTGTATGGAGCATTTAAAATACATTATACAATATATCATCTCATGTCATCATGACAGCCACTAGTCAGGTAGGGAGCTAGAACCGATGTTGGCTCCATGTGACATATGACATGAGTCGCTCAGAGATGTTAGAGAGCTTGCCTGGAGCCGAGGCCTGGTTATTGCAGGAACGTAGCCAGGTCCCTCTGGCTCCCAGGCTCGTCCTCCGGTCTGACAAGCACAGATTATACACGCAGCCTTCACTGCCTTAGCTTTTGTCTTGACTCCCTGGCCAGTGTCTAGATGCTGAACTGATCCCATTTTAGAGAAACAAAGAAATCATCATCTCTGAGACTGAAACAAAAGAGCCTTCGGTGATGCGAGATGTAAAGGGCAGGAAAAACGCAAAGAAAATGAGCTGCAAAAAAAAAAAAAAAAAAAAAGAAAATGAGCTGCAATTTACAGCCCAAGTTAAACACAAAGCTCCCCTAAATTTATATCCTCCTGTTTCCACATAATGAGTCAATTAATCTTCTAATGCTTTATAAAAGTAAAAAACACTGCAGCAGCAGCTGGTTTTAATGTTAAAGCTAATTAGGAAAACACATTAAGGCGAGGGAAGTGCTGAAGTCACATTTAGCTCAAGAGGAAAGCAGTATGTGCTGTGTGCAGGAGGAGGCTACAGCCGCAGGAGCTCGGCTCGGTGGAAGCCCCTTAATCCCCGGCACCCGCTTCCCCAGGAAGGTGGCCCCCAGGAAACAGAACTGGGTCACGTCTGACCAAGGCAGGAGCAGGGGAAGGGCCGTCTTCTGCAGCCACCAGGCTGACACTTCTGCCTGAATGTATGGATTTTTCTGCCTGAACACATGAGACATTTGGATGCCAATTAGCCTCAGTCCACGACTGCCAGAAAAATTCCTTTATCGGGGGATGATTTGTCACCTGCCACTAAGTAGCACAGTTTCAATCGCATTTTTAATGACCCCACAATGGAGCCTCGGGGGGGGAAAGAATTGCTTTATTTTATTTTATTTATTTATTTTATTTTATTTTAATTTATTATTATTATTATTATTTTTAAATAAAAGCCTTTCCCGGGGAGCCTGGGTGGCTCAGCGGTTTAGGGCCTGGTCCTGGAGTCCTGGGATCGAATCCCACGTTGGGGCTCCCTGCATGGAGCCTGCTTCTCCCTCTGCCTGTGCCTCTGCCTCTCTCTCTCTCTCTCTCTGTGTCTCTCATGAATAAATAATCTTGGAAAAAAAAAAGTGTTCCCACTCAAAAGAAAATCTTAACGTGTATCTCTAACAGATCAAAAGAGGTGGAAATTTAAGGTCCACTTTATGATTTTCCGGGGAGGGGGTCCTGGGGTGATACCAGGGAAGGAGAATGAAGCTTTAAAGTGATCTGAGGTTAGAGCACAGGGGTCCGGGTCCCCTGCAGCAGCTGTCCCTCAGGTTGTAAGGTGCATTGCAATCACCTGGGCACCTTATTACAATGCAGATTTTGATTCGCAAAGCCCGGGGCGTGGGGCCTGAGCTTCTGCATTTTCAACTCCCTCCCAGCTGGTCCTTGAGGCCCTAGAGGCGACCTTCCCGGAGCGCTGGCGTCAAGGCCCAGGTTCAAGCACAGTCATTTTTCTCCGCATCTTTCTGGTCCAAAGTAGATCCGTAGGAGCCCTTTCCTCCGAGATAGGGATTCATTTACTTGGGGAACCTAAACTGCCAGGAATTAGGGCCGCCTCTGGCGCTGGAGCCGAGGGCCTGCCTCCCCGGGAGCCCCGGGTCGAGCCTTTCCTGGGCGACTGGCGCCCCCTCGCGCCCCGAGGGCCCAGGCCGGCGGCCGCCCTCGCTCCTGCTTGCTCCAGCCGAAGGCGGTGGGGAGGCCGCGCGCACCTTCCTGGAGATTTAACCTGCTGCGGGCTACGCGGTTCAGCGACCATCAAAAGGGACTCCCAGGCCAGCCCTCTGAGCTTCACCCAGGGGTCGGCTAGAAATGCTAATTGTTGGCTCGGCCAGATCTAGGGAGCTGGAACCTGGGGGTGGGGCTCAGTCATCTGCCAAGAACCCCCAGGTGGGGGCACCTGCGTGGCTCAGGCCCTTAAGGGTCTGCCTTTGGCTGGGGTCCTGGTTTCAGGCCTCAACATCGGGGTCCCTGCTCAGTGGGGACTCGGCTTCTCCCTCTCCTGAGGGTACTGTCTATTTAATTAATTAATTAATAATAAATAAATAAGGTCCTGGTTTCAGGCCTCAACATCAGGGTCCCTGCTCAGTGGGGACTCGGCTTCTCCCTCTCCTGAGGGTACTGTTAAATAAATAAATAAATAAATAAACAAATAAATAAATAAATAAATAAATAAATAAATAAATAAATAAATAAATCCATCCATCCATCCATCCATCCATCCATCCCCCAGGTACTTTGATGCTTATGTTGTAGTCCCGAATCTAATCAAATCAAAGCCAGACCCTTAGAATTGCAACCCAATGGATTCCACGAAATTAAAAAACAACAAACATTCCTCACCGTTAACAACCATCTGACCCGCTAATCGAGGAGTTCCCGAGGTGCCCACATTCCCCCGAGCTTCCCTGGGTCAGGACCACAGTACAGCGAGCGGCCCGCCCCACCCCACGCGGGAAACGTGAGGAATGAGCTGCCTGTGGAAAAGCTGCACCGGCTCCACAGCTGAGGGCTCCTGCCTTCCCAGCCTCACGTTCCCTTCTGTTGTGGCCACACTGGGAGGATCCTGCAAAGTCGTCAGCTCAGGAACCGTGGGAGTGGAGACTTAGGTCAATGGCAGAAGCTCCAGAAAGACTTAGCAGGGGCAGGGGAGGGAGACTTCCCATTAACCGCTTGATACCACCAAGTCCTGTGTTGTTTCTGGAAAACTTGGTACCCCTGGCGATGCAACTGGGCGCACATTAAACAATCTGAGGGCAGGAAAGACTTGGTTCCCAGTATGTCCTTATAGGGCCCCTTTCCATCCTCCTTACCTGCCCTTGCATCTTGGTTCCACCACGTGTTGCATTTCTCATGGCTCTGAGCAAATCTCATAACCTCTCTCTACTCACTAGGCCCCGCGAGGCTGGCATAAGCTAGTGCATTAACAGGCTCAGCCCAGGGCCTGGCCCTCCAACCTTCCGAGCAACTTAAGTTGCTGGAAGTGATAAAAAGAAAAACCTGAACACAGTTGTTTCCTAGGGAGCCATGCATTTGGTGTCCTGGTCCTTCCACCAAAGCCAGGCATTCAGCTTATAAGTTATTCAATGAGATTTAATGAATATCATCACAGAATCCAATTTACAGATTTTATTTTATTTTATTTTCAATGTACAGATTTTAGTTGAAAGAATAAATTCAGGGGCATCCAGGTGGCTCAGTTAGTCAAGCAGCTGCCATGGGCTCAGGTCACAATCTCAGGGTCCTGGGATGAGCTGCACCTGGGGCTCCTGCTCAGAGCCTGCTTCTCACTTGCCCTCTCACTCCTCCTCTGTGCTTGCTCTCCCTCTCAAATAAATAAATAAAATCTTAAAAAAAAAGAATAAGTTGCTGTATTGGCATTATGTACCCATTCACAATTTATTGAGCACACACTATTTACAATTAGTAAATAGTATGGATATTTACTCAAAGAAATTTATCTTTTTTTGATCAATTTAAAATTTATCAGTTGTTCTCATTCAAGGGAATATCACTGTAAAAATTTTTTTTTAAATTGATGGTCTTGTGTTTTGGTGTTTATTGCTTCAGATTTTCAACTTTATTTTGACACTGTAATGGATTGTGACCTAAGAGTTTTATAAAGATAGTACCTCCAAATCCAGGTCTCATTGCAAAATCATGGTCCTCTATATGGAGAAGTCGTTCATATTGCAGGAGTCAAGCTTTGGTACTGTCTTTTTTCCTCATTCTGGCTTCTTGTTTGCTATCTCTTCAAAGGGGGAAAAATACTTTTGAGATTTACATGGTTCTAGGTATTTTGATTCTGTGTTCAAGTTGGTATCCTCTGAAATATATATAAAAGCTCATTTTCTTAGCGTATCCTACACATAGCTAAAAATCTGCCAACATTTACTCTCTATTATATAAGGGTGGGCAGGTAAGGTAACCCCAAATTTGGAGCAACTTAGATGATGAACCAAGTCTGGATATAATGCTCTGGGCAGGAGACATTTCTCAGAATATGGTTTTTAGACCAGGAGAGCCTTGTCACTACCACCTTAGATCCATGTACCATATCCCAGATCACCTAAAGCAGAATCCGATGAAACAGGGTGTAGGAATCTGCATGTTACTTAAGTGATTTTTAGGGTCAGCGAAGTCAATCTACTTCTGCACTAAGACAGTGAAACAAAAATAAAAACACACTGCAAAATTGCAAACTGATGAAAATAGTGTTTTACAAAGACAAAATGAGCAGAAAGAAGGGGTGCGAGTTAAGATGAGAGTAGAATGTATGTAGTAGGCTCTAGAATTCGAGGGAGGGCAATGGGAATGGAGAGGAACTCAAAGGAAAAATGGCTTTGACAATTGATCGGACTTGATGTCTGTCCAGTTGCGGAGTAGGTGAAGTCAGTTTTCATCCACAGTTCCCCAAGGTAAAGGCAAAGTGGGGAGTGGCCTCTCAGGTGTTCCCAGAGTCTGATCTTGGAGTTACCCTGCTGCTCCCAGGTCTGTAGACTTGGGAAAGTTGCTGGGTCTCCTCAACTCATGTTTTGTTCTGTGAGACATACTTCATGGTGGTTTGCTAAGTGTGGAGGCAGATGTCTGGGGGGGACACAGCTTCTCTGGAAGTGGAGCCGTCCTCACGTCCCAGGTGCTGGCCCCTGTGCTCAGCTCCTTCCAGACAAAGATGCCTGTCATCCTCATTGTCATTATCAGCAGAAGCAGTAGCAGCAATTAATAATGCCAGACACCAAGGGTCTACTAAGTGAGTTCTAATTGCCCCGAATCCCTGATATGATTTTGCATTAATAAATGTCTCCTTCAGAAGAGCATGGTGAGCTTTAACATAAGATTTGTGGATGCACTTTCTTAGCTCAATAGAGTGACTTTGATGGTGAGAATTGCATGTTCTGAAGCAGCTGGCTGAAGAAATATGTCCAGGCTTGTGGGCACCTATCATCAGTATGGGTTTTCCAACAGTGAAGTTTCTGGTTAAGACCCTGAGAGCTTCATGTATGTATTTTTCCTTTGGGAGAAATGGGAATTTGGAAGACAAAATCTGTCTTGGGTAGAAGACAATGGGTTTGATTTTAAACACGTGAAGTCATTATATCCTACAAATAATTGAATGCATAGAACCATTTCTTCCAAGGATCTCAAATAAATTGGAACATTTCTTTTAAGGAGCTACAGTGAACTATTTACCGAAAAAGTAATAGCTAATGTGCTTATTAAATGCCTATGATGTTCAGGGCCTCATGCCCAGGATGTTAGGTAAATATTAAATATTATCTTCTTTGGCATGCATCTGAATCACCTGGTTTGCTGGGACCCGTGCCCAGAGTTTCCAGTTCAAGAGGTTGGGGGTACGAGAGTTTGCATTTATAACAATTTCTTAGGAGAACCACTGGTCTGGAAATTAGTAGACATTGAATACAAGCTAGCTAATTGTTATTATCTTAGGGAAAATCAAATGCAACTTTGGGTGAAAACTCATGAAAACTTGTGAACTCCTTTGGTAACATAATATAACTAAATGGCCACCACTCGTGCCTTTTCAGAAGCATACATTTTCAAAAGCATAATGAGATTGGAAAGGATAAGTCTTAATTAAGAATCCCAAGAACACTGAACTCAGAGCCTGTTCAGAAACACACTCTTGGCGGTACCGAAAGTACACACACCTGCTCTTATCTCCAGGGCTCTACTGATGCTCAGTGTCCCAAACTTATTTATTTTTTTACTTTATTTATACCTTATCTTTTTCACACAAATGATTATGTAGCTTATACACCCTCCAAAAGAATTTTGAGAATCCATGTACTCAATCATACATTTAAATAGGTATTTATCATTTTCTCATAAAATTTAAAATTACTTAGATATTGATAATTTAAAAGAAAATTCATATTCCCCCTCTTAATGTAGTCAATGAATCTAAATGCCCACATTATGCATTTTAAAATACATGAAATCAGCTCCCCTTCAAAAATAAGAAATTTTATCATTCCTTGTTTTCTTTGAACTTGCATTCCACTTTATTTCCTTCATAGAATTTTATCACCTCATCTATTTCTTTGCAAGAATATGCATATACACTTTGAAATTAGCTTTTTAAAGCATCTATGACTATTACAAATGGAGCAAAACATAACTCATAAATGTTGATAGATTCTTATTAAGATTATGAATAAAATTTATTGGAAACGTATTTCTTAATGAAGTAATTATACATTTTACCCAATTACATCATGTATATGGATATTACTCCTTGCTAGAATGAAACCAGATCTAGCATAAATTCTATTCCTATTCTTTACTCTTATAGATGATATATTTTTTTAAAGATTGTATTTATTTACTCATGAGAGACAGAGAGAGAGAAAGGCACAGACACAGGCAGAGGGAGAAGCAGGTTCCCTGTGGGGACTCTGATGCAAAATTTGATCCCAGGACCCTGAGATCATGACCTGAGCCAAAGGCAGATGCCCCACCGCTGAACCACCTGGACTTCCCCTATAGATGAAAGTATTTTTTTTATATATAGATTAAATTAAAAAAAAACTTTTATATACATGAAATTTGAAGTTTTGTTTCAGCATTGTTTCACAATATAACATTTCAATTCTTTCTTACTTACTTTCTAGAACCCACACTATGATCTATCATCAATAATTATTTCTAGTGATTCGTAACCTGACTAGTTAGGTTCTTCCTTCACTTTTATGAAAACAAAGGGAAAAAAATCGCCTAGTTTGAAAGACGATGTATTATTTACATTTGAGTCATCTACTATCTCAACAATATTTATGATGATGTCTTTGTACCTAAGAGGGTTTTATACCCTGGGGTAATATGTAGTCAGGAAGAGGGAGAGGTCTGCCTTTATTTTGCCAAATGAGACACAGCCATCATGGAGGAGACTGCAGACAAGTTTTCAGGTAGATCAATTCTAGGCAAGAGGTCAGAGGAAGTTAAATATGCAGAAATTGATTGTTTTAAAACTATCTGGGCCTACAATCCCCTCTGAGAGCTTGCATATACCCTCAGGGGTACATTACACTTCAGAAGTAGAGGTGCCCTAGCTTGAAGACCCTGGTTTATAAAATAAAATGATATAGATAGATGATAGATAGATAGATAGATATACATAGAAATATAAAGGTTAAAGTGAAAACCAAAATAGAATAAAGGCAAGAGAAGCAAATGTGCTTAATAAGGGGGTTAATAGATGATAGAGCATCAGGTTTAGCACAGAGCTTTCTGGTATATTCAACATATGTGTCATTTTAAACCACTTTGTGTCTTCTGCTCTCTTCCCCTCTTCTAGAAAAACTAACTTCATTTTTGGTAGCTACTGAAAGAAAACCTTTGGAGAGGGTCTTCCAAAATGCTAAATCCTGATGGGATAGAGAGCAAAGAAATCTCAGTCCAGGGAAGAGTCTTATGTGAGCATTCTCAATCTTTGTCTTTTCCCAGAAAGTATAACAAACATTGTTTGAAGAATAGTGGGTGTAGGTCTTGGTAATAGTTATCACTTTTTTGCTTTGAGTTAGAATCTTTTCCTACCTGGATGAAACACAGGAAACCTACTTCCATGCTCCCCCTCTTTTCAGTATCAGAAACTCTACTATAATTTTGTGACTAAGAAAGTGGAGGAAGGGTTGACTGGATTTTGAGAGGCTTCAGGGAGATTAAGGGAGTCTTTAAGGAGGACATATTAGGCAAAGAATTAAAATCTACTAGAACCAGATGAGGAAAAGCCAGTACATCTAAGTCACCCTGATGCATTGGGGTTAAATAAATGGAATGACAAAAACTCATTTTAATTGAGTCACTAACATTCAGCAGGTTACATTACAAAATTGCTTTCCCAAGGGCCCATATATTTGATTAGTTTACTAGGATGAAACTAGCTGAAAACAAGTAGGCTGACACTAATAGCCTATTTACCCAAGGAAAGACATAAGTAACAAACATATTAAACACACACACACACACACACACACACATTTAATCTAGGGGCACCTCGGTGACTCAGTTGGTTAAGTATCCAACTCTTGATTTCAGCTCAGGTCATGCACAATGTCAAGGTCCTGGGATCTAGCCTCAGTGGGTCCTGCACTCAGTGGGGAATCTGCTTGGATCCTCTCTCCCTCTCTTTCTACCCCTCTCCCCACTCCCACTCATGCACTCTCTCTCAAATAAGTAAACCTTTAAAAAATAAAAAAATGTTTAGTTAACTGTATGATACCAATTAAGGCCAATCCATTTTATAGCCTATTAAATGAGCCCCAAACACAAAATCTCAGTAGCCAACCATGTTAAAGGATACGACAACATGGAAACATTTATACTTTGTTAGTGACAGCAGAAATACTGGCAAAACCATTTTAGAAATCAATTTCAAGGGACACCTGAGTGGCTCGGTTAAGTGTCGTGTCTGCCTTTGGCTCAGGTCATGATCTCAGGGTCCTGGGATTGAACCCCTGTTGGGCTCCTTGCTCAGCGTGATGTCTGCTTCTCCCACTGCCCTTCCCTTCACTCATGATCTCTCTCTCCCTCCCTCTCTGAAATAAATAAATAAAATCAATTTCAAGAGCTATGAAGATAATTCATATGCTTTGACTCATAATTCTTTCCAGGAATATTATAATTTTTTTTGGTACAGGGAAAAATACATGCATAAAAATATTCAGGGCTCTGATTTACAGCAGTGCAAATTTGAAAATCAATGTTCAAAGATAATTGGTCCTTTCCTTCAAAGTAATAATATAGAGTGATTAAAATTTCCAACCGTTGTAATGTCTGAGAAACAACATAGACAATGATTAAGGTAAGAAAATACAAAATAATTTCTATACTATAATTTTAAACATGAATAATCATGGAGCTATACGCATAAGGATTAGAACTTGGAAAAGGAAGAGCATAGTTGAGATTCTTTGTGTTGTTTCCATGTAAAATTCCATTATTGAACTGGTGTAATAAATGCCTTGTAAATTATCTAGAACAAGTTGGACTTGCCATGTTGGATCTTTTCTGAAGAAGGATCCAGGTGTGGCTCTCCAGCTTATCATTCCATTCTCCTTGTCATTCTAGAAGCAGGTTCTGCTACCTAACATGGACTTTTTTTTTTTTTCCTCACTGAAGCTCAATTACAAATCAGTACACAGAGAAGCCCAGTAGTCGCAAATAACATGTAGGCAGCATTTTAAAAACTTTGCATAGATTTATTACTTTCCTTTAGAAAAATACTATAGCAAAAATGTTCTATTAGGCTACACAGATGCAAATCCAAGAATGTGATAGAGTAGGAAAATCAGGTGATCCAATCAGTTTGTGATCACTAGGACAACCTTCACACTTTCAGATCCAGTGTTTACATCTAGGTCCCTGACGCTTTTGCTCTTTCTTAGGGAGGACATGGTGCATTCTATACAGCAAATTTTGTGGCTTTGACTGAACTGCTCCTGAACTCCCGAATTCTGGGAGGACATACCTGACTTTAGTCAACAGCCCATCTTTCATAAAAAAAAAAAAAAAAAAAAAAAACCATACAGATGAACATTGCTGTGGAAGAGCCAGTCAGAGAGAAGGCTCCCTTGTGACATGACGGTTCCTATATCTCACTTGGGCCTCTATGAGCTCAGTGAGGAGGCCTCAGTTTCTTCATCTGTCGAATGAGGAAATTGGACCAGATTTGGAGCAGGTCTGCAGATACTTTTTCTGGATAGCCCATATGTTATATCAAGTTGGATAATTTCATATTAAAATCTTACTTTTTGGGACACCTGAGTGGTTCAGTGGTTGAGTGTCTGCTCAGGTTGTGATCCAGGGTTCCTGGATGGAGTCCCACATCGGGCTCCCCCTAGGGAGCCTGTTTCTCCCTCTACTTATGTCTCTGCCTCTCTCTTAGTATCTCTCATGAATAAATAAATAAAATCTTAAAAAAAAAATCTTACTTTGCTGTGTCTGTTACAAAATCAAAGAATCTAGCAACACCGGGCTCAAGTTTTCCTACCACAAGAAAAGGCTGGGCCTGGCCAGCTATTGCCTCTGGAGGAGCCACACAGTCCATAGTTGGCACAACCTTCCACCGCCTCTGTCTTCCTTGCAGGATCACTTGAATTGGCAATCCCTAGGGCCCTCCTAGTTTTAATGTTACATTCATGAATGTGCTGTTAAATGTTTAACAAGTTCTCCAGAAAACAAACAAACAAACAAAACAGCCCTATTTGTGGTGTTTGCCGGTTTCCATGATGTAAATACTCCCATGTGGCTGATTTCAAGGTATTGACATGACAGAAATGTGCATAGCCCATAATGTACTGGTGTAAAATATATTATAACATCATTTAACATGATTTAATATAATAGATAGGATTTCTAGCTTACAGAGAGGATAGATGTAGATATCCTCAAGAATAAGAATGGTAAAACATAGTAAAGAAATAAGGCAGTGGTAAATTTTAATATTTATTACCTTTTAAGAAATAATTTAATTGTATGTTTATAAATTTATATGTAATTAAATTTTTAATGATGTTTATTTTCAACAGCTAGCAAATAGATTTTCCTGAAAATGTTAATAATTGGTTCTTGCAAGCTGATTTAGGCAGACTCCACACTCTACTCAATATTCTTGAGGCCAGAGACTGTATTGTTCCCCTAGCATCCTTAATCCCTGGCCCAGCACTTGGCATATAAAGGGCATTTAATACAACTGTTAGAAGAATGAATAAATATTCAATGAGGCTATATGCCTAATCCTCTTTGTACCTCCAGGGAGCCAAATCTCTTTCCTAGGCAGAACAGGGACATTTTTCACCTGCCAAAATTTACTTTAATCATCAAATCCCCTTCTCCTCCTATTTTGCTTTTAAGAAACAAAGGATACCTCTAGGTAAATGATTTTAAGACCATTTGGATAAAAAAAGGCATTTCTGGGTAGTAAGATTGTATTCTGCAAGAAAATAATTAATAGCAAAGCACGTAAGGGCCTAATTGTATGAAACTTGGCTCAAAATAATGCACACGGCTGCCAGCTAATATAGATCTGTCCACTTCACCATTTTTAAAGAAAGATCAGGCCTTTCTTCTACTTTCATTCTATTAGTTCCTCTTGTTTTATAAAATAATGGATTATTCATTAACTAATTCATTATTGATTTACTTACTGATAATCAGGTTGGGCTTGAGACAAAGAACCTCACGGTATTTATTTACATATTAAGGTCTGAAGAGTTCTGGGCTCCTTTCTCTAGAAACTACCCTAATATAATAATTTCTATGTTTTTGTCAAAAATGCCTTCAAATCTGCATGAGAGACTGGTGGATGACAGCTCAGAAACTGGCTGGCTGGATTACTCAGTTCACTCAGGGAAAATGACTGGCTTTCAATCTCAAAGGCTACTTTTGAACCAGGTTTGATTGTTTACTCAATCCCTAGTTCCCTAGAGGGTTTCTCTTTGAAGAACAAAAGGCACCAATATAAATTTTAATGACTCATATTCTAGTTTATTGCTGAAAGGGGCCCCTCACTTGGGATATGAAGAAGTGAAAACGGCCGTGCTTGGCCCCATGTAGCAGACACCCTGAGGGTCCCTCTTCATTTAAGTAGGGTCTAAAAATGAGACCTATAATTTAAGAAAAAAAAAATTGCACCTCACCACAAGGAACTGATTTCCTTCTCTTGCCCCTTAAAGAACACCTAAGAAATACACACAGATTTTTCCACAGCAAGTCTGCCACTGACAACGGGCCAGTGTGATGGGTTAGTTCCTATGACAATTCTCCTTTGCCTCAGTCTGGTGGCAAAACCCCGTGTTTCCCAAATATTGTTTGCCTAATTGCCTTGAAGAAGACTCAGAAAGTGGTTAAACAGGACAAAACTTCATATTATCTCAGATCTGAGTGTGGGAACAGAAGCATGGAAAGAACAGCATGGGAGGGATCCCTTTTTAAAAAAAATTAATTATTTTTTTTTAAAGATTTCATTTATTTGACAGGGAGAGAGAGAACACAAACAGGGAGAGTGAGAGAAGGAGAAGCAGGCTCCCCCTGAGGGGTTCATCCCAGGATCCTGGGATCATGACCTGAGCCGGAGGCAGAGGCTTAACCGACTCAGCCACCCAAGCATGCTGTGGCCCTTGATTTTTAAGAGCAGAAAGGAAATCAAGAATTTAGTAAATTTTTTGTACCACCCTCCACCACACCTCTTTTGTTTTTGGTCATTAAACCTGAGGCTTCATGAGGATTTATTAAAATTTTATGTTCACTTTCTTGATCTATAGTGAGCGCCTCATAAATATTCAAGATGTGAGGGCAATCTGGCTAAAACAGCTGTCACCTCATTGATTGCCAGGGTTGGTGAGGCAATCACCTTCATCCCTCACCTGCATCCCTCAATTTCCTCTCCTGGGTATTTTTGAAAACCTTGTGCTTGGTGAAAAGGAAAGACTTTCCCTAAGCCAAGAGGTCACTTTTTGGTTATCAAAGGTGCTTGAGTGGTAGGGTGACTAACCATTCCTGTTTGCCTGGGACATGCTGCTAAAACCCAAGGAGTCCCAGGCAAAGCAGGATGAACAGTCTACTAGCTTGTGCTCCTTCACTGGCATGTGCAAACAGGCTCGCCATTATCGATGATAAGATAACAGTGATGATGTACTGACATTCAGAATATATGTCAAAAGTACGGAAACTCCTCTCGAAAGGCAACAAATGGCTCTCATGCTTTTCATTACTACTTATCAATACATGAAACTACTCTCTTAAGTGTTGACTATTAGAAGATGCTGCTTTGACTGATTTCCATTCAGAAAAATTTGAGGAAACTTTAGACTCATGTCATTATTAGTAATAAATGCATTATTCACTGAAGACATACATTCCCTGAAAGAAGATCCCTATGCGAGCCTTCAACTGTATTCTCCAAAAACTAAGCACACCATTGCCAGCAGAGACCCAAGATTCTACTCCTTCTGATGCTACCCAGAGGTGACTGCTATCTCTAGAGACAATCACCCCCTCATATGTGATACAATTAGTTGTTCCTTGGGGTCCCCATGGGTCTGAGGCAGCTGGTGAGGGAGGGCAATGACTGCAGAGACTCTACTAGGACTCTCTTACGGGGTTCTTTTTCATTGAAGAGGAGCACCTCTGGTGGGACTTCTTGATTTCAGAAGCAGCAAGAGCATCTGGCGTCAGCGTGATCCAGATGCAACTGCGTAGCCAGGATCATCTCTTCCCAAAGAAAGGAAGGTAGATGGATGCAGCCAATACTGAAAACAGTATTACTTCTTCATGCATCTCTTTATGAGTAAGTAGAGTGCCAAGTAAAAGGTATCAAGGGAAAGGGAGAGGAACTGCCTTCAACGCCGAGTCTTTTGTTGTAGTAGATGAAATAGATTAGCATCACTTACAGGCAAACATCTGTCTGGCTCATCAGCAGTTTGGGGAAAACTAAGCAGATCTTTTCATTTCTAGTTTCCATCCTTTAGTACCTCTTTTCAGGGAAGGTGCTTAGTGGGATGCTGGATCCCCTACCCAATGAACTCTTGGCTGCAGTCCTTGGCAGACAAAGAAGTGAGGTTAGGCATTAAATCCCCTTCATCCAACACAACATCATTAGAATATATTTAATGATTCAGCAAGATAACACGCTGAACAAAGATGATTAATTTAATTTTAATTATACATACAGAGAGCTCTTCCTTTGTCTCATGGCTCCCTTTTAAATCAGAAATGAACCTTTCTCTCCCTAAATGCTTACAAATTGCCATAGTGTATACACTAATTATTATGTTTGTTGAACAAATAATCGTGTTTTAAGATGCTGGTGTATTCCATTGAAAGCAGAAGTGGTTCAATGTAAGGTTTGATGTGGTAAGCAGCCCGATAAACAAAAAAGAAATTAGCCTTGGGCAGTGAGTAAGGAACACACGGTCACTGTTAAAATATGGCCACACACATTCCTAAAATTTCTTCGCATCCATAGAGTAGAAATATTCCTTGGAAACATTTCCTCTCTGCATGCAAAGTTCCAATGAATGAACATGTCAGTGAAATTAAATTTCTCCAACTGGAATATCACAAGGTGAGCAATCTAGTAACCACCCATCTGTTTACTAGGACTTAAGGAGAATACCATTTTCTTCTCAGAAATAGAGTGTGAAAGAAAGTCTTAAATTTCCTGGAAATGAATTTTCTCCTTGAAACATTGAATCCTGTGTTACTGCTTTATCACGTTAATTTATTTTGACTTAGGTTACATCTTCTCTTACCCAATGCATTAAAATCTTCTCATATGCTACGCAGCATGTCCTTGCTCTTTCAAATATATGCTTAATATAAAATACTATACATGTACAGAATGATGTAATAAATTCTTAATCTCTCCCCTCAATGTCTAGTGTTGATCATCATATACAGTTAAACTATTATATGTACATATTTATAAATAATATACAAATTTTTGTATGGTTCAAAAAGTTTATATAAATGGTGTCCACTATGAAACTTTTACTTCTGCAGCCCACTTTTTCTCTTCACATTATGCTTAGAGATGTATTATGTTGATCCATGTAGCTCTAGTTAATTCATTTTTGATGGTTGCCTGGTATTTTTACATGTGGATGATGAAAATTTAATTTAGTCATTTTTTTGTCGATGGACATTATTTCTCACTTCTCTATCATAAAAAATCTATTACAAACAATTCTGCAGTGAATGTCTTGTGCACATGTGTACGAGTTTCCTTAGGGTACCTACTTACAAGTAAAACAGCTTGGCTGAACAATTTTCACATCTTCAAATTGACTGGATACTGCTATATTGCTCATAGAAGTGAGTATACCAGTCTACAAACCCACTACTAAAGAATGACAGTCTTCATTTTTAAAAATCTTTTTAAAATCTGCTATCATCAGGCTTTTAAATAACATCTAATCTAATTTTAGTTTTAATTTCCCTACTGGCTAGAGAAGGGTCAGCCTTAGAAATAAAACTGCCAGTTATTTTAGCAGCAGAAACAGGTTTATCCAAGAATAGTAGAGAATTTCAGTCTGGGACGAGCAAACTATGGCTCAAGTTCACAGAACAAAGGAGACCAACTCTCCTTTATGGAAGAAGGGGAAAAGTTGGGAGGGCTGTTATAAACAAAAAGTCGATTAGAATAGGTGCTGGGAAAATTGGATATCCACATGCAGAAGAATTAAACTAGACCACTCTCTTGCACCATACACAAAAATAAACTCAAAATGGATGAAAGATCTAAATGTGAGACAAGATTCCATCAAAATCCTAGAGGAGAACACAGGCAACACTCTGTTTCAACTTGGCCACAGCAACTTCCTGCAAGATACATCCAGAGGGCAAGAGAAACAAAAGCAAAAATGAACTACTGGGACTTCATCAAGATAAGAAGCTTTTGCACAGCAAAGGACACAGTCAACAAAACTCAAAGACAACTACAGAATGGGAGAAGATATTTGCAAATGACCTATCAGGTTAAGGGCTAGTATCCAAGATCTATAAAGAACTTATTAAACTCAACAGCAAAGAAACAAACAATCCAATCATGAAATGGGCAAAAGACATGAACAGAAATCTCACAGAGGAAGACATAGACATGGCCAACATGCACATGAGAAAATGCTCCGCATCACTGGCCATCAGGGAAATACAAATCAAAACCACAATGAAATACCACCTCACACCAGTGAGAATGGGGAAAATAAATAACAAGGCAGGAAACCACAAATGTTGGAGAGGATGTGGAGAAAAGGGAACCCTCTTACACTGTTGGGAATGTGAACTGGTGCAGCCACTCTGGAAAACTGTGTGGAGGTTCCTCAAAGAGTTAAAAATAGACCTGCCCTACGACCCAGCAATTGCACTGCTGGAGATTTATCCCAAAGATTCATATGCAATGAAACGCCGGGACACCTGCACCCCGATGTTCACAGCAGCAATGTCCACAATAGCCAAACTGTGGAAGGAGCCTCGGTGTCCATCGACAGATGATGGATAAAGAAGCTGTGGTCTATGTATACAATGGAATATTCCTCAGCCATTAGAAACGACGAATACCCACCATTTGCTTCGATGTGGATGGAACTGGAGGGTATTATGCTGAGTGAAATAAGTCAATCGGAGAAGGACAAACATTATATGGTCTCATTCATTTGGGGAATATAAAAATTAGTGAAGGGAATAAAGGGGAAAAGAGAAAAAATGAGTGGGAAATATCAGAAAGGGAGACAGAACATGAGAGACTCCTAACTCTGGGAAAAGAACTAGGGGTAGTAGAAAGGGAGGTGGGCGGGGGGTGGGGGTGACTGAGTGACGGTCACTGAGGTGGGCACTTGACAGGATGAGCACTGGGTGTTATTCTATATGTTGGCAAATTGAACACCAATAAAAAATAAATTTATATATATAAAAAAGTCCATTAGAATAAACTGGGAGTTCAAAGTCTGGTGGCTTCTCACTGGCCGAGTTGTGACAATTTCTCAGTGGCTGGGTGGGAAGAAAGTCTTTCTTCCTCCTGCTGGGGTATTATTATTACTATTATTATTAAGATTTTAGTTATTTATTCATGAGAGACACACAGAGAGAGGCAGAGACACAGGCAGAGGGAGAAGCAGGCTCCCTGCGGGGAGCCCTGCTGGGATATATAAGTAGCGTCCTGGGGTATGGTCTATCTCCTCCTGTCCGGGATGGCCCTCTGGGTCTGCAATGGACAAGGAGCCTGGGGTGTGAGAGCCACCCCCACCCCCCGTTGCTGGCTTCCAGGTTCTAAAGAAGGTTTCCTTCATTTATTTTCACAGAAGTAGGAGCACTTTTTTCATGCATTTCTGGGCCAGTAAGCTTTCCCTCTTCTGCAAAGAACCAGGCAACACAAGACACGTAAGAAGAGTTGTTGGTCTTCAACGACTGTCCTTTTGGCTGCTGGAGGACTTCCTTGTGGTCACAGTTTGTTTTCCATCTCAGCGCTCTCCTGAGATCCAGGGCCTGACCCCTTGAGCCTAGCATGCTTTGCCACCTAGGTCTGTTCTCTTCATTTAGTACCATTATCTACACCCAACACTTCCCAAAGTAGTTCATGGCTACACTGGAGATATTTTGTGAAAAACTGTTCTGTGCTAAGTGAATTTGGGAAACGTGTTTCACTGCCCTTGGGAATGGTAGTTCACGTTACATGGCACAGTGGAAGTGTTCTTGTCCTGCAGCGGCGTGGAGGCCGTTCGCTCAGCAGCTAGCCTCAGTCCTTAGCTTGCTTGGTCCGTTGGACACACCTGATCTCCCTCCCGTTTGAAGCATTTTCTTCACCTGCCTTCTGGGATTTCACACTTTCCTGTTTTTCTCTTACCTCCCTGGTCATTCTTAGTCCTGTTATCTGATTCTCCCTCCCCCGTCGACTGCATAATATTGGAGTGGCCCCACCCTCAGTACCTCGGTACTGTAGCCCTGGTCTTTCCTATCAACTCACTTCTTTAGGGATCTCCTCCAGTCTCACGGCTTTCAAAACCACACAAACATTCCCAAGTTTATATCATTGGTCTGGGCTCTTCTCCCCAAATTCCATCTCCTATTGCTATGGTCTCAGTGTTTGTGTCTCCCAAAATTCATATGTTAAGATCCTAGCCCCCCAGAGGTGATAGTTATAGTAGGTGGACCCTCTGGGAGGCAATTAGATCATGAGGATGAAGCCCTCACAAAAAAATAAGATTAGTGCCCTTATAAAAGGGACTCCAGAGAGACCCCTCAGCCCTTCCACCATGTGAGGATACAACGAAAACTCCGCAACCTGGAGGGGGGCCCTCCTCTGACCAAACCGGCACCCTGATTTCCGACCTTTGGCTTCCAGAACTGTCAGAAATACATTTCCGTTGTTTAAAGGCCATCTAGTCCATGGTACTGTGTTCCAGCCACCCAAGTGGACTAAGACACACAACCAACTGTCTGCTTGGTATTTCCACCTGGACGTCTGATAAACTATCTTAGGTTCAACATGTGCAAAAGTAAGCTTGTGAATATTTCTCTCCTGATTCGCCTACAGCTTTCTCTATCTCCCCTGATAACAATACTGTCCCTTCTTGACGCATCTCTCTCATACTCCATGTCCAACCCGCATCCGGGATCCGAGTGTTTCTCACTACCTCCTCAGCTACTTCCCTGGCCTTCAGTCCCCACCTTGCTTGAATTATTGCAGCAGTGCCCTCACTAGTCTTCTTGCTTCTTCCCTTGCCCTGTTACATTCAATTCACAGCAACCAGGGATTGTTTTATTTTTATTTTTAAGATTTTATTTATTTATTCATGAAAGACACAGGGAGAGGCAGAGACACAGGCAGAGGGAGAAGCAGGCTCCCTGTGGGGAGCTGGATGCGGGACTCGATCCCAGGACTCCGGGGACACGACCTGAGCCAGAGGCCGATGCTCAACCACTGAGCCACCCAGGTGCCCCACAACCAGTGATTCTTTAAAAAAAGAAAAAATCAAGTCAGGTCACTCTTCTCTTCAAAACCTTGCAATGGCTTCTCCTTTTTCTCAGATTCCAAAGTCTTTAAGCCCTACACCGTCTGCAGCTCCCTTCTCCCCTTTGCCTCTCCGACTTCTCCTACTGTTTCCTCCACTCCCACCAGCTGTTCCACAAACACTGGACTTTGTTGTTTCTTGAACATACTGTGCATGTTTCCATCTTGGGAAACTGAGATGGAAACTGGCTGTAACCCTTGCCTGACACACTCTTTATCCAGGTATCTATGAGTAATTCCTTGAACCAGCTTAAATCTTTGCTCAAATGTCATTCACCACAAAAAAAAAAAAAAAAAAAAAAAAGCAGTAAGCTCCCTTTCCTCCTACAGCTTGTGCTACAGTCTACCTTAGATGGCACTTAGCATGTTTTATACAATTTACTTACTATGTTTATTGCTCATTTTCTGTCTAATGCTGCTAGAATGTAAGCTGTACAAGAGAGCAATCTTTGTTTGTCTTGTTCTTTGGAGTAGCCCAAACACACAACCATTTTTGGCAGATAGTCTGTGTTTAATAAATATTTGTTGAAAGATCATTAACATATCAAAAGCCTTGGTAAAAAAGACCTGTTCAGTTCTGCTGAATTCTACGCTTTCCAAACTTAATTGACCTCAGATCTCCTTTAAAAAAAAAACACAAAACTGCACTACTCACTAATATTCCTCCAAAAAAGTCCTCTTCTAGAACACCCACTGGGAAATTGTGATTTGTAGGTAAATCTGTGCTTTTCACATCCTCCTTATCAAAATACCATGTCCTGTCATCTCGAGACTATTTTGATGACATGCTGAACTTTTAAATTCACAATGTAACGTTGGTAGCTGATAAAAAACAAAAACAAACAAGCAAGAAATTAAAAGGGGATTTTGAAGCAATATTTTGACCTGAAGGAAGGAAGCACTGAAGCAGAAGTTGTCCCCTTTTTAGGTGGTAGGGGAGCTGTTTTGGAATACATGTTTTTTTATTTTTTTTACATTAAAAAAATTTAAACTCAATTTGCCAACATATAGTATAACACCCAGTGCTCATCCCATCAAGTGCCCTCTTCGGTGCCCGTCACCCAGTTTGGAACACGTTTCTTAGACATACCTAGCAGATCATACACCTTCGACTACAACTTAAATCACATCAGGGTGCCCCTCTCCACACTGTGGGGATGAATCAATGGTGCAAATCCTTTTGACTGCCTCACTGAATAATCTTTGCTAGCTTACCTGTCTGTATCAATATTGACATTAAAGGAGGAATAGGGATCCCTGGGTGGTGCAGCGGTTTGGCGCCTGTCTTTGGCCCAGGGCACGATCCTGGAGACCCGGGATCGAATCCCACATCGGGCTCCTGGTGCATGGAGCCTGCTTCTCCCTCTGCCTATGTCTCTGCCTCTCTCTCTCTCTCTCTCTCTGTGTGTGACTATCATAAATAAATAAAAATTTTTTAAAAAAATAAAGGAGGAATAAAGTAGTTTTTGTTTTGTCAGTTATGAATTTTAAGCGGGAAATGGTTTGCATTAAAAAAAAAAAAGCAAGGCACTGGCCTAGGCTACGCAGAACCGGCCCACAGAAGGTCTCAGGGTTTCAGTTCAATTACAATCAAGGCATCTGTCTCTGTTGATGCTGAATCGGCTCCTCAACCTTATCCCTGAAGTACTTTCTGTGCAAGCCCAGTAAGCTTCTTAAGAGAAAAGCAGAAAACCACATCTGTCAAAATTAGAAAGTGGCAACCATAAGGAAACAAAATGAATCACGGGGTCACTGGAGAATTGTGTACTGGTTTAAGTCTCCCTGGAACAAATTGCCTCTTGTTCACTCTTTTTCCAACCCTGATGATGTCAGCCAGTTTCTATCCCGCTGCCAGGGAGCCAAAAAGAAAACTCGGATGAGCTGGCTGTGTCCTCAGTATATTCATCATGGGTCGGATTGCTCGCTCTTCCCTTACAAAGAGAGAAGAGGAAAGTGAACGTCTTCTTTAGACTGGGCCACGAACATCTGACAAAAGCAACCATAAAGTCCAAGTCTCCAGAAATTTCCTGATGTATCTGCGTGATGTCACGCAGGCAAAACATCTTGAGATGAAAATCGCAGAGTTGTGGAATGCTGATATGGAAAAAAGCTTGGCGAAGGTTTAGATCACCGCCCTCCTCTTTTTCATTTGTGAAGAAACTAAGATTGGGGAGATTATACACAATTCATCTGCATTTTCCTTATTCATTTGCTTTGGTCCATTGGGAATATCATACGACTGGCCATGACAAGAGCAGCAGGCTCGCCCTCCAAATCTTTGTTCTCACTCAGAAATGTTTTCTCTCTTCCGTTTCCCACAATTGCCAGAGCTCCAGGAAAGCTTCTTTTCTTTTCCCCACACTTTTATTCTCTTTCCACTTCATTCCCGAGATACAGAATGAGCTGAGATGGGAATGGGCAGTAGAGAACCTTGCTCTGTTTAGAGGAAAGTGGGTGCAAAGCAGAGCCAGCTTCATCACCGTGCAATAGCACGACACGACCACGAGATGGAAGCAAGACTACACAAACCCGTCCAGACCCCACTATTTTTAAGTGTCCCTCTTCTTCCTGAAAGGAAAATCTCAATGCGTTATTTGCATTTACCAGCATAGGCAAAATCAAAGGAAAAAGATTAATGATATAATGCCATGTGACTCAGGCAAAAACTAAACTAAACTAGACAAATAAAATAAAATAAAATAAAATAAAATAAAATAAAATAAAATAAAATAAAATAAGTCCCTGTGATGGAGGAAAATGCAGTTATTAACCTGGAAGGTAGACTGATTAATGATGTGGTGGTTTCTCTGAATACTGAGCATATGTTTAAGGTTTTACTTCTTACCCACAGGTAAGAACAACAGCATGTTGCTTGACCTCTGGGAACGCTGACAGGAGGACAGGAACACTACGGAAACAGAAGCTTTCTATAAAAGTGTGTTTAGCACAACATCTGGTACATTGAAAACACAACAGTCACCACGATTGCATCTTTGCATTTCCAACATCATGATTCAGGTCATGTTACCACCGTTCTCTCAGTCTCCCAAGCCTCAAAAATTTGAAAAAAACTTTGATTCCTCCCTTTTCAAGAGTTGATTTTTTTTTTTAAAAAGCAGCTTTTCGCGTCCAAACTTCTATTGCAGCTCCCTTGTATTCCCGTTGCCACCAGATCTCTTTGCCTTTAGCATAAATAGATATCTAAATCAGCCTCCTTGCCCCAAGTCTTTCTGGTTTACTCTCTCTATGCAGCTGCCAGTACATATTAATGATATTTCTTTCTCTAACACCGTTCTCTCCCAAAAATGCTTTCCCATTACCTATAGGAGAAATTCTATTCTGCTATGTTGGTCTTGTGTTATGATCCCTTTGCTAACACCACACTGTCTTGGTCATTGCAGCTTCGTAGTAAATAACTCTTAAAATCCTCCAATTGTATTCTTCTTTTTCAAAGCTGTTTTAGTTATTCTAGTTCTTTTGTCCTTGTGTACAAGTTGTAGAGTCAACTTTTCTACCTCTACAAAAAAATTCTGCTCGGAGTGTGATTGGCATTGCACTAGTAAGAGGCTAAGCTTTGACAAAAAACACTGTCACAAACTGCATTGTAACTGGTGGCCAATGGGTCCACACCAGAATTCTTTTCATCATGTAAAGTAATGTGAGAAATGTCAGATGCCCCAATACTATTGAGAAATAGGGACGCCTGGGTGACTCAGGGGTTGAGCATCTGCCTTTGGCCCAGGTCGTGACCCAGGGGTCCTGGGATTGAATCCCACATGGGGCTGTTTGCAGGGAGCCTGCTTCTCCTTCTGCCTGTGTCTCTGCCCCCTTCTCTGTGTCTCTCATGAAAAATAAATAAAATCTTTAAAAAATAAATACTGTTGAGAAATTGAGATAGTTTATATGAATACATTTTTGTTGAAAGTACAAAAAATACATTCTTATGAAGATGATTATTACATTTTTATTAAATATGTACACTAAAAAATTAGTCTTCAGGAGACCTTAAAAAGCAAGTGACTGTAAAATCCCTCTTTGGAAGAAAGGTTTCAAAAAGCAACATTGCCCCTAGTGGATGATTTCTGGCCAAAAATAATTTGATTACTAATGAGAGAGAAAAGTCAATTTCTTACAAAGTGTGAGAAACAGGAATCATTGGACAGAATTTGGAGCAATTTGTGTTTTTATTTGACTCATCTTTGTCCTTTCAAAGAAAACTCCTGACCAATGTCTACTATACCAGACACTTAAGTATATGTTTGGCCTGAATTACTAAGCTATTCAAAGTGAGCCTTTTATAATCACCAACAATTTGCCTCTGAGAAAGAAGGTGGGCTTGTGAAGCTCTGAACTTCTGGCAAGGTCAAA